GCCTGTTCCTGCCACCCGCACCAAGTCTACGGTGCGCGTCGCCAGCCCGACCCGGCCTGTTCCTGCCACTCGCACCAAACCTACGGTGCGCGTCGCCAGCCCGGTCCGGCCTGTTCCTGCCACCCGCACCAAGTCTACGGTGCGCGTCGCCAGCCCGACCCGGCCTGTTCCTGCCACCCGCACCAAGTCTACGGTGCGCGTCGCCAGCCCGGTCCGGCCTGTTCCTGCCACTCGCACCAAACCTACGGTGCGCGTCGCCAGCCCGGTCCGGCCTGTTCCTGCCACTCGCACTAAGCCAGGGGTGCGAGAAGTCAGCCTGGTAAGGCCCGTCCCTCTTCCACGCACCAAGCCAGGGGTGCGAGTCGTCAGCCTGGTAAGGCCCGTCCCTCTTCCACGCACCAAGCCAGGGGTGCGAGTCGTCAGCCTGGTAAGGCCCGTTCCTCCTCCACGCACAAAGCCAGGGGTGCGCGTCGTCAGCCTGGTAAGGCCCGTCCCTCCTCCACGCACCAAGCCAGGGGTGCGAGTCGTCAGCCTGGTAAGGCCCGTTCCTCCTCCACGCACCAAGCCAGGGGTGCGAGTCGACAGCCTGGTAAGGATCGCTCCTGTTAAGTCCAGTCCTGCTCCAGCCGGCGGGGCCAGACTGGACCAGGGGCACTATGGGGGGTGTATTGGAGGGTGGTGGTCAAGGCCGGAGCCAGAACCGCCGCCGAGGAGGTATGCCCGCCCAGCCCTCCCCTGGTTTGTTTAGTTGAGGCGCGGTCGCAGTCCGTGCCTTTAGGGGGGGGTACTGTCACACCCTGGCTCTGGGACTCATTATGTTGAGCCAGGGTGTGTTCATTTCTATGTGTGTATTTCTATGTTGGTGTTCATTCTAGTTTGTTGTATTCTATGTTTGCCTGAGTGACTCCCAATCAGAGGCAACGAGTGTCAGCTGTTGGCTGGTTGTCTCTGATTGGGAGCCATATTTAAACTGTATGTTTTCCCTTTGTGGTTGTGGGTTTTTGTTCCGTGTTCGGTCATTGATACCGTGGACGTCACGAGTCGTGTTTTGTTTTGTATTTTGACGCTTTAACTAATTAAAGTCATGTTTGTTCATCACGCTGCGCCTTGGTCTACTCCTTACCTCGACCTTGACATGCACGTAGCCTACAGATGAATGATCTGTTTTCTCATATATCAACTTTCCTGGTGCCATACTTCTCTTTTAAAAGATGAAGTGGACAATATTGTGCCAATTAATTGATAAATTGCCAAATACGTCAGGTAATTAAATGTCTGCATAGGTTACAGTTCATGGTTCTTATTCATAAGCATTATTATTTTGACCAAACTGAAGGCCATTAGGCCAATATGAGGCTATACCTAGACATCTGAAATGTCTTTACGCCTAGACGAGCTTCCAGGTCTCCGTCATAATGTTCAATTGTGAATGAGGGGGAAAAAAGAATTACAGGGGCAGTTTGGTCAAACTAATCCCATCTGAATCGTACACTGGAAAAACGGACATGCGGGGGTAATAATACATAACCGACGTTCTATAGTAATCCTAGTCCCGTGCGAATAGGGCTTTAATAAGACAGAAGGCTAGTTAAGGCAGAAACTGGATGGGTCAGCGTATAACGCGAACGTCTAGCAACCCAAAGGTTGCGTGTTTGACAAGACAACCACCATCTCATCACGGATTTAGAATTTTAGCTAATTAGCAACTTTGCAACTACTTACTACTTTTTAGCTACTTTGCAACTAATTAGCTAACCTTTCCCCTAACCTAGCTAACGTTAGCCACAACAAATTGTAATTCATAACATATCATACGTTTTGCAAATTTGTAACATATTGTATGAATTGCAATTCATAACATATAAATTGTAATTCATAACATATCATGCGAAATGGATATCCACAAATTAATACATACCTTGACACAGATCAGCAGGGACATCCTCTGATTTAGCAGACGCTCTTATCCAGAGCGACTTACAGTTAGTGAGTGCATACATTATTTTTTTTATTTTTTCATACTGGCCCCCCGTGGGAATCGAACCCACAACCCTGGCGTTGCAAACGCCATGCTCTACCAACTGAGCTACATCCCTGCCGGCCATTCCCTCCCCTACCCTGGACGACGCTTGGCCAATTGTGCACCGCCCCATGGGTCTCCCGGTCGCGGCCGGCTACGACAGAGCCTGGATTCGAACCAGGATCTCTAGTGGCAAGCGTCGTCCAGGGTAGGGGAGGGAATGGCCGGCAGGGATGTAGCTCAGTTGGTAGACCACTGCGCCACTCGGGAGATCCACGTATGTCATGTGTACAGTATATGATTAATAAACAAACTTGAACTTGTCCAATTGCATTGACCTACTTTAGCTACAGCATACTGTAGGAGGTTGGTGACACCTCGGGGAGAACGGGCTCGTGGTAATGGCTGGAGCGGAATTGGTGGAATGGTATCAAATACATTAAAACATGGGTTCCATCTGTTTGATGCCATTCCATTAACTCTGTTCCAGACATTATTATGAGCCGTCCTCCCCTCAGCAGCCTCCACTGAGCTACCGCCATGTTATACCTAATGCTAGTGCCTTAGACCACTGCGCCACTCGGGAGTATACGAAATGTAACATATCATACTAATTAGATTTACTTTTACTATGTTTCGTCTACCCCTGAGTCCAGATTGCCAAACCAGATATTATAGCCTAGTCTCTTCCCATAGCCACTGGAGTGCCATTAGTCTGGCAAATAGCATTAGACTAGCTATAGCACCAACAGGCATCTCACATGCCACATGCCCCCCTCAGCGACTGACTGACTGGTGCCCCAGCATAGAGCAGAACCAATTAACACTCAATTCAGAGAGAGTGACAGGCGGTCAGCCTGATAAGAGGCTCAGCAACTAGTTATACCAGCAGCATTACCATGCTGTTGTACCACTGGAGTTGTCCCACTTAGGCCCCGCCCCAGTGCTATCTCTATCTCCAACACTGGTGTCAACAAGGCTAATTATGCTAGCTAATATTTACATTTACATTTTTGTCATTTAGCAGACGCTCTTATCCAGAGCATACATTTTCATACTTTTTCATACTAATACAACTCAGTGTAAGTTTTCTGTTATCACACATTTCATAACATATTTGGGTGTACCCAAGGGGGTAGCTAATCTAGGTGTAAATTATGTACATATATTTATTATATACACTGCTCAAAAAAATTAAGGGAACACTTAAACACAATGTAACTCTTAGTCAATCACACTTCTGTGAAATCAAACTGTCCACTTAGGAAGCAACACTGATTGACGATACATTTCACATGCTGTTGTGCAAATGGAATAGACAACAGGTGGAAATTATAGGCAATTAGCAAGACACCCCCAATAAAGGACTGGTTTTGCAGGTGGTGACCACAGACCACTTCTCAGTTCCTATGCTTCCTGGCTGATGTTTTGGTCACTTTTGAATGCTGGCGGTGCTTTCACTCTAGTGGTAGCATGAGACAGAGTCTACAACCCACACAAGTGGCTCAGGTAGTGCAGCTCATCCAGGATGGCACATCAATGCGAGCTGTGGCAAGAAGGTTTGCTGTGTCTGTCAGCGTAGTGTCCAGAGCATGGAGGCGCTACCAGGAGACAGGCCAGTACATCAGGAGACATGGAGGAGACCGTAGGAGAGCAACAACCCAGCAGCAGGACTGCTACCTCCGCCTTTGTGCAAGGAGGAGCAGGAAGAGCATTGCCAGAGCCCTGCAAAATGACCTCCAGCAGGCCACAAATGTGCATGTGTCTGCTCAAACGGTCAGAAACAGACTCCATGAGGGTGGTATGAGGGCCCGACGTCCACAGGTGGGGGTTGTGCTTACAGCTCAACACCGTGCAGGACATTTGGCATTTGCCAGAGAACACCAAGATTGGCAAATTCGCCACTGGCGCCCTGTGCTCTTCACAGATGAAAGCAGGTTCACACTGAGCACGTGACAGACGTGACAGAGTCTGGAGACGCCGTGGAGAACGTTCTGCTGCCTGCAACATCCTCCAGCATGACCGGTTTGGCGGTGGGTCAGTCATGATGTGGGGTGGCATTTCTTTGGGGGGCCGCACAGCCCTCCATGTGCTCGCCAGAGGTAGCCTGACTGCCATTAGGTACCGAGATGAGATCCTCAGACCCCTTGTGAGACCATATGCTGGTGCGGTTGGCCCTGGGTTCCTCCTAATGCAAGACAATGCTAGACCTCATGTGGCTGGAGTGTGTCAGCAGTTCCTGCAAGAGGAAGGCATTGATGCTATGGACTGGCCCGCCCGTTCCCCAGACCTGAATCCAATTGAGCACATTTGGGACATCATGTCTCGCTGAGTCCAGGTCTGGGAGGAGATCCCTCAGGAGACCATCCGCCACCTCATCAAGAGCATGCCAAGGCGTTGTAGGGAGGTCATACAGGCACGTGGAGGCCACACACACTACTGAGCCTCATTTTGACTTGTTTTAAGGACATTACATCAAAGTTGGATCAGCCTGTAGTGTGGTTTTCCACTTCAATTTTGAGGGTGACTCCAAATCCAGACCTCCATGGGTTGATACATTTGATTTCCATTGATCATTTTTGTGTGATTTTGTTGTCAGCACATTCAACTATGTAAAGAAAAAAGTATTTAATAAGATTATTTCATTCATTCAGATCTAGGATGTGTTATTTTAGTGTTCCCTTTATTTTTTTGAGCAGTGTATATTTCTCAAAATATTGTTAGTCTATAACAGAGCGGTCAGATATCCAGCATCATCCTATTAATATGATCAAGTTGTTGATTGGGTTTGCTTTTCTTCCGATTCCTGTTACACAGTGAAAAAACAAGCAAATATTTGAGTCTCTTTTTCTTGGCGCTTATCTCACCATGTCAATTCACCGGAACACATAATTCAGCCTAGGACCCAGAGGCCTCTCTCTCTGCTCTTATTCCCTTCCTCCCTCCCCCTATTTTTCTCTCTATCTCCCTTTCTCCCCACCTCTCTCTTTTTTCCCGTCCTCTCCTTCTCTCTTTCTCTCCCTCTGTCTTGCCCTGACCCTAGAGTGAGAGAGGAAGCTACACAAAATGTCCATATAAAGTTATTGTGTTGTGTTCTACAGAGGTGGCATGCATGGGTGTTAGTCAGTGAGTGATGACATAAATGCCTTGACCTCTCATGACCTGGTCAGACAGAGACAGGCCATCACAATCAGTCTCACTGGATGGGGCTCTGTAAAGGTCAGGGGTCAGGAATTGCAACATGCCTCATATAACACACACACATAGTGGACATCAGTCGGGCTCATGGTCTAGTGATGACGTAGCCCTGCTTGTACTTCAAGATCAGTGTCACCCTCGGCCCAAGAGGTAATTTCCTCTTGGTCTAACGATCAAGACATTGGTTTCTCCTATGGGAGACCTGGGTTCAGATCCTGCCCATGACACATACACACAAACTTAATGGATTTTAGAAAAACAGTAACATATGGTATTGCTAGAAGCTTTATGCATTTACACAGGCAGCCTAATTCTGATCTTTTGCCCAATTATTGGCAAAAGATCTGATTGGTCAAAAGACCAATTAGTGAAAAAATATCAGAATTGGGCTGCCTGTGTAAATGCAGCCATGAAGTCTAAGTCTGAGGATCATTTGAACCTTATGATGATTGAGACAGAACACGTACACAGCTGATGTTCCCTTGTAAACAGTAGTGTACTGCTACTGCCCTCTAGTGACAAATTACACAAAGTCACAGTCGGAGTACAATAGTAATGTCTACAGTAGTGGTATTCAAGGTTTTTCAGCAGGGAACCCATTTTTATGCCAGAATTTCAGGGGACCCCATTTTTTGGGGGGCCAGAATTTCTAGTGACCGCTCCCCTCCCCAAATCTAATGACACAACCTTAAAATGGATACATTTCTATCTATTTTTACATAAACAAAAGAAAGATAACCTTACATTTATTACATTTAAATCTCTCTTATCAAATTATCTGCTCTGGCAGTGGATGCCAAGGGAAGCCAGGCTTCCCTAAAAAATGTACCAATAACAAAAGAAAAATACATACAATAATGTATCTTTCGTCTCTTTGTGTTTCATCATTTTCTTTCAATTCGCAAGAGGCTGAATGTATCTCACTGGAGAAAGCATCTGAGCGAGCAAAACAGCGCCCCTCTGTCTCTGTATGTGTAGCCCATCTATCTGATGCTGTCTGGTCAAAAAGAGTATGACATTGTTGTCACCCGTAGCATTGAATGCAAGGGAAGCCAGCGAACATTAGGCCTCCCTTTATATTTTTTTCTATACAGTAATAGCTAATCAGCGTTGAGATAAACTGAGTGAGCTCAATTGTGAATGGTCCTGCTGCACCAAAAAAAGGTGTAAAGGGAAGCAAGTTTAGATTTGGCTTCACACCAATCACATCACATCAAGCCGAATGTCATTGACAAACTTTTTTCAAAATAACTGCATCTTGTTGTGTTGTTGTCCTCCGGTGGCTAGCTAGCTAGCTAGCTAAAATAGGCCCTTTCCTAAATTTGCCATGGATGGAGATAGGGATTTGGACTTGTAGTTTTACTTAATTCTCCGTAATGTCCAAAAAGTTGTACTTTTGAATCATCTGTCCATAGAACATTCTTCCAAGAGTCTTGATGATCATCCAGGTGCTTTTTGGCAAACTTGAGTCAACTTTTTGGACGACATGGGTCCCATTATGCCTGGTGAAAACCAATCACTGCATTCCACAGTAAGAACATCATACCAACGGTCAAGCATGGTGGTGGTAGTGTGATGGTTTGGAGATGCTTTGCTGCCTCAGGACCTGGATGACTTGCCTTAATAGAAGGAACCATGAATGCTGCTCTGTATCAGAGAATTCTACAGGAGAATATCAGGCCATCCGTCTGTGAGCTGAAACTGAAGCGCAGCTGGGTCATGCAGCAAGACAATGATCCAAAACACACAATCAAGTCTACATGAAAATGGCTAAAAAGCAACAAATTAGAAGTTTTGGAATGGCCTAGTCAAAGTCCAGACCTAATCCCAATTGAGATGTTGTGGCAGGACTTGAAACGAGCAGTTCATGCTTGAAAACCCACAAATGTTGCTGAGTTACAGCAGTTCTGCATGGAAGAGTGGGCCATAATTCCTCCACAGCGGCGTGAGAGGCTGATCAACAACTACAGGAAGCGTTTGGTTGGAGTCATTGCAACTAAAGGTAGCAAAACCAATTATAGAGTGTAAGGGATCAATTACTTTTTCACACAGGGCATTGGGTGTTGCATAACTTTGGATACTTATTGTATTTATAAAAATAAAAAATAAATGTTATTTGTAAACTCAGGTTCCTTTTATCTAATATTTGGTTTTGGTTGAAGATCTGATAACATTCAGTATCAAAAATATGCAAAAATCAGGAAAGGGGCAAATCATTTTTCACAGCACTGTAGGTTCCCAAAGCACACAATATGCTCAGTTGTGATGACATTCATACAATGTTTAAGTTAGGTTGCACAGGACATTCCTATAATGTTGTAAGAATGTTGATAGAACACCTGGTCTAAGTTCTTTAAAGGTTCCCAGAACATTTAATTAAGTTATGGGAGTTGCCCTCCCTTCCAGTTGCATTGCTGGGAATTCTTTGTTGTTGTACTTTATCCTCCTCAAGTCTCATGATGAATTTCACAAAAATTATGCAGCACACAACATGCCGTAATTAGTGTGTTTATTATGTCAATGTGAGAGTCATTGCATTTAAGCAAACACCTTTCCTTCACTCGAGGACAAGCCCGCTCTACAGGCATGCAACAACTACTGAGCCACTCATTAAAGTTGGTCAGCACAGGTGTGATTCCTCCTCTCTCTGAGTAGAGCTTCATCAGCCACAGAAGAAGTGTGTAGGCAGCGTCTCCTAGTATTACAAGTGGCACATTCACTCCATGAAAGGTCTGTCCATCTTGGGAGTAGTCTGCCCTCCTGACCCTTGGTAAATAGTGCTGAGTTGGCCAGCACATGGGTATCATGAACTGTGCCAGCCCAACCAATGTGGATGTCCCAAAACGTTCATTTGTGACCTACAACCCCTTTTAGGACCACTGAGTAAAAACCCTTTCTGTGATAATAGTCCCTCTTGTCTTGTTGTGGTGCTATGATGGGTATATGAGTGCCATCGACTGCTCCACGGCATTGAGGGAATCCTGGTTGACGGTCCCGGATTCCATTTTACTATGTCCCTGAACTCAGCCTCCGTTGGTCGCAGCCGGCCGCGACCGGGAGACCCATGGGGCGGCGCGCACAATTGGCCCAGCGTCGTCCAGGGTAGGGGAGGGAATGGCCGGCAGGGGATGTAGCTCAGTTGGTAGAGCATGGCGTTTGCAACGCCAGGGTTGTGGGTTCGATAAAATAATGTATGCACTAACTGTAAGTCGCTCTGGATAAGAGCGTCTGCTAAATGACTAAAATGTAAAATGTAAATGTAAACGTGCAACATTTTCTCCCGGATGAGACTGGCAATTTGATTAGGGACTGCAGTTGACAAACCTACACCAAACAATAACAATATGGTTTGGTACTCTACATTAGTGGCAAGTCTCCACAGACAAATGGCAACACGCTGCCCCACAGACAGTGCTTTCCTGTAAAGACACTGTTGCTGGACAAGAGAAGGACCAAGAATATCACATAGACTGAGGAATGTTGTCTTCCTCATCCTAAAGTTCGCCCTCCTCTCTGTCAGTCCAGCCGTCAAATGCAGTCAGCCACCACTGTGTCTCCCTTGGAACAGCCATGTACTCATGGTAAAAGAGAATTACATGGTTTAGGCTTAGGTTACTACTTCAAATTGTAAAAATGAATTTATTTTTATTTTTTATTTTACCTTTATTTAACTAGGCAAGTCAGTTAAGAACAAATTCTTATTTACAATTACAGCCTACACCGGCCAAACCCGGATGGTAGGCTACAATACAAAAATTCTAGCCAAGATAGGTCTTAACAGACCTTAAATATAGATCTGAAAGTGTATGCATGTCAATATCACTTATTTGAAAATAGAATATAAAACATGTCAAAGGAAATGATATATGACTGCCATCATGTCATTTTGGCTAGTGTTCTTCATTGATATTAGATGGCTGGTGCCACCTAACGGACAACATTGTAACTGCACTAGTGACTGTTATTATAGGCTATAGGGGACAAGTTGCGCAGAAATAGACAGGCATCTTTTTACACACCTTGTTGTATGTTTTTGGATGAGTATGCTGACAAACATATTTAATTTCATTAACTCTTGATTCATCCTTAGAAACCGTTGGCCTCGGCGTTGTTGTAATGGTCCCGACATTTCGGCAATACCGTTGAAGTACTTGATTCAAGGAAATCATAAGAGAAAGTAAAAAGCCAGCGGGGTTTTATTGCACAGTCCCAGAATTACAAAACGCATTCTGATACGTAAAAAAATTAAATAAATGCATTGTGAAACTCAAAACGTATTGTAAAGTATTTTTACTTAAGTGCTTTACACCACTGCAAATACGTTTTTATGATGTTCATAGCATAATTGTTTTAGGTTTAACATAATGTTCCATTGATGTTCACAGAATATTCATTTTAACTTGTCATGGAGGTCCTCAGAACATTTCAGGAACATTTAGAAAATGTTATATTTAAGTTTTACCTAATATTACCACAACATTCTCAGCATGCACATTTGTAGCTCCTTAAAGCATAAGAAAGCAGATTGGAATACATCCCCATTATGTTTCTCTCCAGATTTAATGGAAATTTGCATTTGAAGGTGATCTAGAGACACGTGGCATTTAATGAAATTCATAGGACATTTGAACAGCATTTAATCATACAAACACAACCAGGGCCGGATTAAGAAATCATAGGCGCCGGGGCTTTGATGGTCGATGTGCTCCTCTTGGCAATAGTCTATCTCACGATGAGCTACTTTGATAAACAGTACTGCTCTTCGCAAAAAATTGGGAGTTGTTGAGATTTTTCTTCTTCTATTGGTTCAACAATTGTATTTTGAAACTTGCAAAGGGCAAACAGACAGACGCAACCAACCATAGAAATATAATCCATAGATGGCAGTTCCCATTCAAGTCTGGCAGCTATTGCTAGTGTACCCATGAGTTTAACACAAAAATTGCCAGGGTAAGTGGTTCCAAAACCCAACTATGGATTATGTCTATAGCCACAATGCAACAAGCTGTATATTTGGTGGGCATGCTGCCCAAATTGTGGCCTTCCCGACTGTGGGAAACACTTGAGTGTGTGGGGGGCATTTTCCTGGCATGATTTAGGTCCACTTGTAGAATCTACGACAAAACTGTTGAAGCTGTTCTGGCAGCCCAACACCCTTTTAAGACACTTTATGTTGATGTTTCCTTTATTTTGGCAGTTACCTGCATGCGTTGTGCAAAACCTTTATCCACAGTATTTTTTTTGTTGAAACTATAGATCCTCTGTGGCTATATATACAGTGGGGAGAACAAGTATTTGATACACTGCCGATTTTCTGGTTTTCCTACTTACAAAGCATGTAGAGGTCTGTAATTTGTATCATAGGTACACTTCAACTGTTAGAGACGGAATCTAAAACAAAAATCCAGAAAATCACATTGTATGATTTTTAAGTAATTAATTACAATTAATTATAGACCTGTTAGTTTTTCTTTAAGAAGCACTCCTGTTCTCCACTCATTACCTGTATTAACTGCACCTGTTTGAACTCGTTACATGTATAAAAGACACATGTCCACACACTCAATCAAACAGACTCCAACCTCTCCACAATGGCCAAGACCAGAGAGCTGTGTAAGGACATCAGGGATAAAATTGTAGACCTGCACAAGGCTGGGATGGGCTACAGGACAATAGGCAAGCAGCTTGGTGAGAAGGCAACAACTGTTGGCGCAAGTATTAGAAAATGGAAGAAGTTCAAGATGACGGTCAATCACCCTCGGTCTGGGGCTCCATGCAAGATCTCACCTCGTGGGGCATCAATGATCATGAGGAAGGTGAGGGATCAGCCCAGAACTACACGGCAGGACCTGGTCAATGACCTGAAGAGAGCTGGGACCACAGTCTCAAAGAAAACCATTAGTAACACACTACGCCGTCATGGATTAAAATCCTGCAGCGCACGCAAGGTCCCCCTGCTCAAGCCAGCGCATGTCCAGGCCCGTCTGAAGTTTGCCAATGACCATCTGGATGATCCAGAGGAGGAATGGGAGAAGGTCATGTGGTCTGATGAGACAAAAATAGAGCTTTTTGGTCTAAACTCCACTCGCCGTGTTTGGAGGAAGAAGAAGGATGAGTACAACCACAAGAACACCATCCCAACCGTGAAGCATGGAGGTGGAAACATCATTCTTTGGGGATACTTTTCTGCAAAGGGGACAGGATGACTGCACCGTATTGAGGGGAGGATGGATGGGGCCATGTATCGCGAGATCTTGGCCAACAACCTCCTTCCCTCAGTAAGAGCATTGAAGATGGGTCGTGGCTGGGTCTTCCAGCATGACAACAACCCGAAACACACAGCCAGGGCAACTAAGGAGTGGCTCCGTAAGAAGCATCTCAAGGTCCTGGAGTGGCCTAGCCAGTCTCCAGACCTGAACCCAATAGAAAATCTTCGGCGGGAGCTGAAAGTCCGTATTGCCCAGCGACAGCCCCGAAACCGGAAGGATCTGGAGAAGGTCTGTATGGAGGAGTGGGCCAAAATCCCTGCTGCAGTGTGTGCAAACCTGGTCAAGACCTACAGGAAACGTATGATCTCTGTAATTGCAAACAAAGGTTTCTGTACCAAATATTAAGTTCTGCTTTTCTGATGTATCAAATACTTATGTCATGCAATAAAATGCAAATTAATTACTTAAAAATCATACAATGTGATTTTCTGGATTTTTGTTTTAGTTTCCGTCTCTCACAGTTGTAGTGTACCTATGTTAAAAATTACAGACCTCTACATGCTTTGTAAGTAGGAAAACCTGCAAAATTGGCAGTGTATCAAATACTTGTTCTCCCCACTGTATATATATATATATATTTTTTTTTGCCTCTTGTGACTGGGCACACAATTGACCAGTCACATGTATTTATTATGCAGTTAATCTTTTATAAATCAGTTACCCAATCAAGGCAGGGCCCCCCAGTTTTTTTATTTTTTATTTAACCTTTATTTAACTAGGCAAGTCAGTTAAGAACAAATTCTTATTTACAATGACGGCCCCCTATCTCCATCTGACCATTAGCAGAGCAGCAGGAGGCTGTCTACACTCATTGCTTTATAGCCTTTATAAACATTTCCTGCAATTCTACATCATTTTACATATTAGCAGAATATTTTTTAATACCACACAAATTACCAAAATTACAGGCTAAGAATGGACTAATCGAGTGGCGCAGTGGTCTGTGCCACTAGAGATCCTGGTTCGAATCCAGGCTCTGTCGTAGCCGGCCGCGACCGGGAGACCCCATGGGGCGGTGCACAATTGGTCCAGGGTAGGGGAGGGAATGGCTGGCAGGGAGGTAGCTCAGTTGGTAGAGCATGGCGTTTTGCAACGCCAGGGTTGTGGGTTCGATTCCCACGGGGGGCCAGTATAAAAAAATAATATGTATGCACTAACTGTAAGTCGCTCTGGATAAGAGCGTCTGCTAAATAATGTAAATGTGATAATGATGAGTGAGAAAGTTACAGACCCACAAATATCATACCCCCAAGAAGACATGCTAACCTCTCACCCTTACAATAACAGGGGAGGTTAGCATTTATTTTTATATGTATGCCTCTGTAACTCATCATTTATTCACGATTCATTCAGGAGTATCCGTAATCATGGTAGCATCCACATTAATGTAGAAGTGTTTAGAGACATTCTATTCTTATTTACAATAAAGGTGACTCCAAAATGACAATACTTTATTTATCATTCATTTCTATTGGGCACAAAATAATCTGAAACACAACCAAAACAAACAGCAAATGCATCCAACAAGTTGGTAGAGTCATAAGCTTTATGTAATCATTGCGTGCTAGGAATAAGGGACCAAATACTCAACTTTTTGACTACTTTAATACACGTAAGTGGATTTGTCCCAATACTTTGGTCCCCTAAAATAGGGGGACTATGTCTTGTGTGTAGATGGGTGAGAGAAAAAATATATATTTCATCAATTTTGAATTCAGGCTGTAACACTGCAAAATGTGGAATAAGTCATGGGTTTTGAATACTTTCTGAAGGCACTGTAACTATGCATGTACACAAATTAAGAATCAATGAAAATGTTAGCTATAAATCATACTGGCACACTCTCAATACAAATGGCAATGGGTACACATTTTTCTTTATACTTTAAGAGTGAAGAATGGACCTGCGCCTAAGGAGTTTGTCTTCAGAATATGAGTTTTATTCCGAATTATATACAAAAATATAACTCTTTCCTACATCTAACTGTACTACATGCTCTCAACAGTATCAGACATTGACATTGGATGGAGAGAATGTTTCTCCATGCTAGAGATGAGAGCAGAAACATGAAAAATATTGAAAATACAGATTTCTGATTAGTAATGTATTGGCATATTTATGAGACACAAATGCCTAATAGAGACAAAACATAACAACTTAAAGCTGCAATATGTAACTTTTTGCACAATATGTAACTTACTGGCATTCCTCGAGTGACTCAGCGGCTAGATCACATCTGAGATCTGAACCAAATTAAAGACTGTTTTGGTATAAGCAGAGCCACAATCGACTAGAATCTTTCAAGGCCTGAATTCAATCGATCCACTTTAGAACGTGTCGTGTCCTGTTTTCATGACTCACATTAATAAGACATTGTTAGTTTGAGGATCACCAGATAATAATAATAAATATGCCATTTAGCAGACGCTTTTATCCAAAGCGACTTACAGTCATCAAATAAGTAACAGACAGAATGACTCATGCATAGATTTAGTGGCAAAGTGTGAAAGCGGCATGAACTTAATTAATGCCAGGCATTAATGCTCTGTAGTCCTGGGGTGAGAGAGACCGATTAAAGCTGTGATATCTATGACAGAACCCAGTCCCTGGTCTGGCTATAGCACCCCAGACAGCACATTTAAAACACAGCATGGGAAAAATGTCATCATGCAAATGTTTTGTCTTCTCAGATTAATTCAATGGATAGATAATTCAATGGATAGATTGTTTCCTGTAGTCCACGATCAGGAACTACTGAGGGCCGAGCACACCCCCATCCACATCGATGGGGCTGTAGTTAAGCGGGTCGAGAGCTTCAAGTTCCTCAGTGTCCTCATCACCAAGACATTAACATGGTCCATACACACCAACACAGTAGTGAAGAAGACACGACAATGCCTCTTCCAACACAGGAGGCTGAAAAGATTTGGCATGGGCCCTCAGATCCTCAAAAAGTTCTACAGCTGCACCATTTTGGTATTTTTTGTATTTTATTAGGATCCCCATTAGCTGTTGCAAAAGCAGCAGCTACTCTTCCTGGAGTCCACACAAAACATGACATAATACAGAACATTAATAGACAAGAGCAGCTCAAGGACAGAACTACATACATTATTTTTAAAGGCACACGTAGCCTACATATCAATACATACAAACTATCTAGGTCAAATAGGGGAGAGGCGTTGTGCCATGAGGTGTTGCTTTATCTGTTTTTGAAACCAGGTTTGCTGTTTATCTGAGCAATATGAGATGGAACGCTTTCTTGAATTTGTCCTGGATTTGGGGACTGTGAAAAGACCCCTGGTGGCATGTCTGGTGGGGTAGGTGTGTGTGTCAGAGCTGTGTGTAAATTGACTATTGCAAACAATTTGGGATTTTCAACACAATGATTCTTATAAAAAGAAGAAGTGATGCAGTCAGTCGCTCCTCAACTCTTAGCCAAGAGAGACTGGCATGCATAGTATTTATATCAGCCCTCTGATTACAATGAAGAGCAAGACGTGCCGCTCTGTTCTGGGCCAGCTGCAGCTTAACTAGGTCTTTCTTTACAGCACTGGACCACACGACTGGACAATAATCAAGATTAGACAAAACTAGAGCCTGCAGAACTTGCTTTTTGGAATGTGGTGTCAAAAAGCAGAGCATCTCTTTATTACGGACAGACCTCTCCCCATCTTTACAACCATTGAATCTATATGTTTTGACCATGATAGTTTACAATCTAAGGTAACGCCAAGTAATTTAGTCTCCTCAACTTGTTCAACAGCCACACCATTCATTACCAGATTCAGCTGAGGTCTAGAACTTAGAGAATGATTTGTACCAAATACAATGCTCTTAGTTTTAGAGATGTTCAGGACCAGTTCAGTGACTTCATTAGCTGTGGTTGCTGATGCGTATATGGTTGAATCATCAGCATACATGGACACACATGCTTTGTTTAATGCCAGTGGCAGGTCATTGGTAAAAATAGAAAAGAGTAGAGGGGGCCTAGAGAGCTTCCATTTTAAAAAAAATTGATAGATAGCTCTGAATCCACGATATGGCAGAGGTTGAAAAGCCATAACACATACGTTTTTTCAACAACAGGTTATGGTCAATAATATCAAAGGCTGCACTGAAATCTAACAGTACAGCTCCCACAATCTTCTTATTATCAATTTCTTTCAACCAATCATCAGTCATTTGTGTCAGTACAGTACATGTTGAGTGCCCTTCCCTATAAGCATGCTGAAAGTCCTGTTGTTAATTTATTTACAGAGAAATAGCATTGTATTTGGTCAAACACAGTTTGCTAAGAGCTGGCAGCAAGCTTATAGGTCTTCTGTTAGAACCAGTAAAGGCCGCTTTACCATTCTTTGGTAGCGGAATGACTTTGGCTTCCCTCCAGGCCTGAGGACAAAGACTTTCCTCTAGGCTCAGATTAAAGATATGACAGATAGGAGTGGCTATAGAGTCAGCTACCATCCTCAGCAGCTTTCCATCTAAGTTGACAATGCCAGGAGGTTTGTCATTATTGATCGATAACAATAATTTTTCCACCTCTCCCACACTAACTTTACAAAATTCTAACTTGCATTGAGAGCATCTTGACTGGCTGCATCACCGCTTGGTATGGCAACTGCATGGCATCGACCACAAGGTGCTACAGAGGGTAGTGCGTACGGCCCAGTCCACCGAGCTCCCTGCCATCCATGACCTCTACACCAGGCAGTGTCAGAGGAAGGCCCTAAACACTGTCAGACTCCAGCCACCCAAGTCACAGACTTTTCTCTGCTAACCGCACGGCAAGCGGTACCGATGCACCAAGTCTGGAACCAACAGGACCCTGAACAGCTTCTACCCCCAAACCCCTACCTACATGTACAAAATGTACCTCGACTAACCTGTACCCCCGCACATTGACTCAGTACCAATACCCTCTGTATATAGCCTCGTTATTGTTATTTTATTGTGTTACTTTTTATTTTGTTTTCAACATTATTTTATTTAGTAAATATTTTCTTTATTTCTTTAACTGCATTGTTGATTAAGGGCTTGTGAGTAAGCATTTCACGGTAAGGTCCACACCTGTTGTATTCGGCGCATGTGACAAATACAATTTGATTTGATTTGAAAAAAACATAAGACTACTAAATAGTTAACCAAATAGCTACCTAGACAATCTGCATTGACCCTCTTTGCACTAACTCTTTTGCCTCATCACAAACGCTGCTGCTACTGTCTATTATCTATCCTATTGCCTAATCACTTTACCCCTACCTATATGTACCCCTGCACATCGACTCGGTACTGGTACCCTGTGTATATAGCCAAGTTATCGTTACTCATTGTGTATTTATTCCTCGTGATATAATTGTTTCTATATTTTTCTCTCTGCATTGTTGGGAAGAGCCCATAAGTAAGCATTTCACTGTTAGTCTACACCTGTTTTTTACGAAGCATGTGACATAAGATTTTCTTTTATTTGAGATAGTCTATTCAGTAGACTACTTCAGCCCTAGAAAGACTCTGGGACCTAGAGGGGCAGGTTTGGTGGTGCAGGGAGACCTGCGTGACTTATAATCCTATAACTCTTACTGAAGGGCAGACCTTCATCGTACTCATCATCATCTTCGTCGTTCATGGCAGCAGCTTCCTCAGGGCTCTTAGTTAGATATCTCCTGAGAGAGGAGACATAGAAAAGGGTTAGGGTTGTGGCTGAGGGTCAGGGTTGAACCGGGATGTGAACATTAAGCTAGGGTTAGGCTTGTGGTTTATATTGGTTTCCTTTCAAATACTTTAGCTCAGGTTGATTTAGCTTGCCTGGTGCAATGGAACCAATTGAATAGTCCCAAAAGTGCAACTGCAAACCCTGCCCGTCTGGCAATTTCAATGCCCAAAGTATTTGAAAGAAAAGTACTATTTGAAGCCCGGTGTGTTAGAGTTATGGGGCCAGGGAACATGGGTGTGCTAATGGGGTCAGTGCTGCCCAGTGCCTCATCATCATTAGGGCTGATTAGCCAGTGCTGCTAATAGATTAGTACCATTAACAGGAGCATGAGAAACAGAATGAGCTAAATGGATGTCAATGGAATAGAGCAGCATGAAATGGAAAAAACACAGGGTAAAATACAGGACAAAATATTAAAACAAAAACATCAATGGACAAGCGTGCACAAATAGAGCATAGAAAGGTAATAATAGGAGGACAAATAGACAATTTGCATAATTCACACTGCCCATAATAGACTGTAATTTGAAAATCCAGGCTAGCAGGTTAGGAACCGGAAGTGTTCCATTGAAGTCTATGGAAAACAGTGGTTTTAAATAAGCAGACACAGTACCTGCATGCTCGTAGCAGTATGTCATCTTTCCTCTGCTGCAGCATCTTCTGTCTCTCCTCGGCTGACTTGGAGAAGCGGCTGCACCTGAGCTCAAAGTCCTCCACCTCAGGGGTCACGACCTCTGAAGTCCCGCTGGCCCCACCCACATCCTCTGGGGAGAGGTTGACCTGGGAGACTATGCGATCCACAGGCTGGACAGGAAGAGGAGCACAGCATACCTTTTTAGGGACTATCCTGGATTTACTGTTGAAGTCAGGTATCCCACTCAAAACATTTTATAAGTAATTTGTGATATTGGCTCATAGGATGAATTGACCCTGAATTCTGTTTTAGTATTCCCCTATGTTAATGTACCATCCAAGGAGTAACATAAACTCACATAAGTAGACACAAACACCTTTTGTTAGAGATGTGGGATTGACCTGTGTGAGAAAGGGTTTGTGGTGGGAGTGGGACTGGATTGACCTGTGTGAGAAAGGTTTTGTGGTGGGAGTGGGACTGGATTGACCTGTGTGAGAAAGGGTTTGTGGTGGGAGTGGGACTGGATTGACATGTGTGGAGAAAGGCACCACGATGCGTCCCACCAGGATGTTGTCAGTGGTGACCTCTACAGAGTGGGTCAGCTGTAAGTCCTGGAGCACCAGATGGTAGGGAACCTGAGGGAACATATCCCCCATCTGATGGTCCTAAAGATAGTGAGAGAGGAGAATTATCATTATTTCAAACATCCAATATTTACCTAATTTTCTTCATTGTCACTGACATGAAAGAATAGGACAGGTGAATGTTAACACAATAATTGCACAAGGCACTGGAAACACACAAGTCATGGATCAATGGACCATAGGAATACTGACCATGGCATTAAGCTGGGAGTTGTTGGCCTGTTGTACAATGCCCAGGATGTTGGTTGTGTGCATGACTTCCACTGAGAAACTGAGCAGCCAGCTTGCAATTCGACAACCTTGTAGGGTGAAATACATGTAAGTACAAGCTCATAGAATATTCATGAGAGGTGTACTTTCTACACTGTATACGGGTGTCTTGTGTTTAGAGAAAAGCTTGAACAGTCGCTAACCGTTTCAGAGTAACCGCTGAGGGGATGTCTATCTGCATATTTTATGGGTGTTACTCTCGCGCATGCTCTTAGCCCTACAGATACTAAGACCTGATGCAGAAAACAACAACAAAACTAGGGAGTCTAGGGACTACTGTCATTTATTTTCATAGGAACATTAACATTGATGAGGAAGCCAAACTGTTGATTGTGTCTTTTCCCAGTTCAATAAATTGCATACATAAATAGAGTGGTTCTGAGAGCTAGTAGAGAAATTAGGATACTGGAGGAGTTTTGGGGCCTCACAGTCAAAGAGGAAAAAGTGGCTGTGCTGGTTGAGGTATGGCCGTGCCTCAGGCCCGGGGCCTCCAGGGCCCATGTTGTCCTCCAGCAGGGGGTCCCTCTGCCTCTCCTCTGGCCCCCTCACTGATGTTCAGAGACATACAGCATGTGGGACATAACGTGTACTGCTCCAACCAGGAGGGCAGGCAGGAGCTGGGCACACAAAGGCATTTATGCACTGCTCAAAAAAATAAAGGGAACACTTAAACAACACAATGTAACTCCAAGTCAATCACACTTCTGTGAAATCAAACTGTCCACTTAGGAAGCAACACTGATTGACAATAAATTTCACATGCTGTTGTGCAAATGGAATAGACAACAGGTGGAAATTATAGGCAATTAGCAAGACACCCCCAATAAAGGACTGGTTTTGCAGGTGGTGACCACAGACCACTTCTCAGTTCCTATGCTTCCTGGCTGATGTTTTGGTCACTTTTGAATGCTGGCGGTGCTTTCACTCTAGTGGTAGCATGAGACTGATTCTACAACCCACACAAGTGGCTCAGGTAGTGCAGCTCATCCAGGATGGCACATCAATGCGAGCTGTGGCAAGAAGGTTTGCTGTGTCTGTCAGCGTAGTGTCCAGAGCATGGAGGCGCTACCAGGAGACAGGCCAGTACATCAGGAGACGTGGAGGAGGCCATAGGAGGGCAACAACCCAGCAGCAGGACTGTTACCTCTGCCTTTGTGCAAGGAGGAGCAGGAGGAGCACTGCCAGAGCCCTGCAAAATGACCTCCAGCAGGCCACAAATGTGCATGTGTCTGCTCCATGAGGGTGGTATGAGGGCCCGACGTCCACAGGTGGGGGTTGTGCTTACAGCCCAACACCGTGCAGGACATTTGGCATTTGCCAGAGAACACCAAGATTGGCAAATTCGCCACTGGCGCCCTGTGCTCTTCACAGATGAAAGCAGGTTCACACTGAGCACGTGACAGACGTGACAGAGTCTGGAGACGCCGGGGAGAACGTTCTGCTGCCTGCAACATCCTCCAGCATGACCGGTTTGGCGGTGGGTCAGTCATGGTGTGGGGTGGCATTTCTTTGGGGGGCCGCACAGCCCTCCATGTGCTCGCCAGAGGTAGCCTGACTGCCATTAGGTACCGAGATGAGATCCTCAGACCCCTTGTGAGACCATATGCTGGTGCGGTTGGCCCTGGGTTCCTCCTAATGCAAGACAATGCTAGACCTCATGTGGCTGGAGTGTGTCAGCAGTTCCTGCAAGAGGAAGGCATTGATGCTATGGACTGGCCCGCCCGTTCCCCAGACCTGAATCCAATTGAGCACATCTGGGACATCATGTCTCGCTCCATCCACCAACGCCACGTTGCACCACAGACTGTCCAGGAGTTGGCGGATGCTTTAGTCCAGGTCTGGGAGGAGATCCCTCAGGAGACCATCCGCCACCTCATCAGGAGCATGCCCAGCCGTTGTAGGGAGGTCATACAGGCACGTGGAGGCCACACACACTACTGAGCCTCATTTTGACTTGTTTTAAGGACATTACATCAAAGTTGGATCAGCCTGTAGTGTGGTTTTCCACTTTAATTTTGAGGGTGACTCCAAATCCAGACCTCCATGGGTTGATACATTTGATTTCCATTGATAATTGTTGTGTGATTTTGTTGTCAGCACATTCAACTATGTAAAGAAAAAAGTATTTAATAAGATTATTTCATTCATTCAGATCTAGGATGTGTTATTTTAGTGTTCCCTTTATTTTTTTGAGCAGTGTATATTCTACATTTATATATTCTACATTTATATAGCACTTCCACATTGGAAGGTGGAGGACTCACATCATTCAATCACTATCAGTTGATGTCCACCAGCCAAAAATATTTCCCCCAGACATTTAAACATCAATATATACATATCCAATAGCCATTGCAAACGACAACAGATAGATGTTGCGGTTGTTCAAATGTGCACAGCGCGGGAGAAAAGAGTTACAGTTTACAGACAGCTGCTCACTTGTGGAAGAGATGTCCACAGGGCAGCTTGCGTTCTGTAGTCATGGAGTCCCAGCAGATAGCACAGTCATCATTGTTGGCTACCAGCTCATCAGAGGTGGCCACAGCAAACCTGCAATCAACCAATCAGCAACATATTTAGAAGAACAACACTTTGTCCATTTTCTTCTTAGACCACGGAAATCCGCCTTTTGCTTTCATTTTGCCTTCAAATGTGCCTCAGAGCATAGTTAGATACAGTATAATATAAAAGGTCATTCAAACAGGCTACACAAGTACTGCCACCCTCTTTGAAGACAGATAAAGCTAGTTGATTGAGCAACAAACCTGGCCTCCATGTTGTGGATGACGCAGAGGTAGTTCTTGTGGCGACGGACTTCGTCGAACAGGTAGCGTAGCTGCAATGAAGATCACCAGGCTGGCAATGGAGAGCCAGATGGTACCGAACAGCTGAGAAGGGGGAGGGGTAAGAAGGGGAGGTGGTAGAAATAAGACATTATGGTTACAACAAGAAGGGACCTAATGATGAATGGACCTTAGTTACAACACTAGTAATGCAATAGTAATAACTCAAATAGGGACATGCCACTATTGTGTGCTTGCTTTGTGTGACAGATGTCTGAGGACAGGGGTTTGAACTCATCAGCATGTGGATGTGATGCATGAGGTCCAGCCTTGCAGAGCCAGATCCATCACAAAGTCAGTGCAGGAGACGTAGGATCCCTTACTCTCCCAAGTGCCCTCATGGTTCAGGTCCCACAGGTGGATAGAGAACCTAGAGGGAGCAGGAACATGTGGTTAAGAGTGTGTGAGTGTGTGTCCACTTTTCAGATGTACCACCAGTTGGTAATGGGTTCATACAAGATATACAATATTGCCAACACAATCACTTACCGAATAATGACATGTCCAGTTCTAACGGATACCAGAATACACTGAAAGGAAACATAAGAAAACAATGGTCTCTTTAGATAACAGGGAGCATCATCAGATAAGGCCATGTTGTATACATAAAACAGAGAGAAGCACTACACAGTAAATGTTTATCCATATACATTAGAGAAACAAAGGTAAGAGGATCCAATAGAGACTTTTTAAAGTCGCCTCCATCTCAAAATGCATTGGAGAAACATTCCTCTCCTGAGGAGAGAAGATGAATCAAGGAAATACACTTGAGATCCACCTTCTAGCCTCCTACCTCAGAAGCCATGAAGGCGATGGTGTGCATGCCATAGGGGTGTCCCAGCAGGCCACAACAGGTCAGCAGCATGCTCACCAGCAGAGCCAGCACCCTCAAATGGCTGCCCAAAGGAGTGGTGGGAGAGAATGACAGCTGCAACAACAACACACACACACAAGATATGACTCAATGATAAAGTGTGATACTGACGTGGATGTTGATAGAATGTCATAACAGCAAAAACCCTAATCATGATCCGGGATGGTAATCAAAGTAAGGGGAAATTATCAGAGTTTATTAAGATGTTTTTACAGAACAAAGACACTATTGATTACCGTTATAGATTTTGGCTATTTACAAATACTAAAACATTTTTGTTTGTCAAAAGAGGATAACTCGTATACAGTGGGGAGAACAAGTATTTGATACACTGCCGATTTTGCAGGTTTTCCTACTTACAAAGCATGTAGAGGTCTGTAATTTTTTATCATAGGTACACTTCAACTGTGAGAGACGGAATCTAAAACAAAAATCCAGAAAATCACATTGTATGATTTTTAAGTAATTAATTTGCATTTTATTGCATGACATAAGTATTTGATCACCTACCAACCAGTAAGAATTCCGGCTCTCACAGACCTGTTAGTTTTTCTTTAAGAAGCCCTCCTGTTCTCCACTCATTACCTGTATTAACTGCACCTGTTTGAACTCGTTACATGTATAAAAGACACCTGCCACACACTCAAACAGACTCCAACCTCTCCACAATGGCCAAGACCAGAGAGCTGTGTAAGGACATCAGGGATCAAATTGTAGACCTGCACAAGGCTGGGATGGGCTACAGGACAATAGGCAAGCAGCTTGGTGAGAAGGCAACAACTGTTGGTGCAATTATTAGAAAATGGAAGAAGTTCAAGATGACGGTCAATCACCCTCGGTCTGGGGCTCCATGCAAGATCTCACCTCGTGGGGCATCAATGATCATGAGGAAGGTGAGGGATGAGCCCAGAACTACACGGCAGGACCTGGTCAATGACCTGAAGAGAGCTGGGACCACAGTCTCAAAGAAAACCATTAGTAACACACTACGCCGTCATGGATTAAAATCCTGCAGCGCACGCAAGGTCCCCCTGCTCAAGCCAGCGCATGTCCAGGCCCGTCTGAAGTTTGCCAATGACCATCTGGATGATCCAGAGGAGGAATGGGAGAAGGTCATGTGGTCTGATGAGACAAAAATAGAGCTTTATGGTCTAAACTCCACTCGCCGTGTCTGGAGGAAGAAGAAGGATGAGTACAACCAAGAACACCATCCCAACCATGAAGCATGGAGGTGGAAACATCATTCTTTGGGGATGCTTTTCTGCAAAGGGGACAGGAGGACTGCACCGTATTGAGGGGAGGATGGATGGGGCCATGTATCGTGATATCTTGGCCAACAACCTCCTTCCCTCAGTAAGAGCATTGAAGATGGGTCGTGGCTGGGTCTTCCAGCATGACAACGACCCGAAACACACAGCCAGGGCAACTAAGGAGTGGCTCCGTAAGAAGCATCTCAAGGTCCTGGAGTGGCCTAGCCAGTCTCCAGACCTGAACCCAATAGAAAATCTTTGGAGGGAGCTGAAAGTCTGTATTGCCCAGCGACAGCCCCGAAACCTGAAGGATCTGGAGAAGGTCTGTATGGAGGAGTGGGCCAAAATCCCTGCTGCAGTGTGTGCAAACCTGGTCAAGACCTACAGGAAACGTATGATCTCTGTAATTGCAAACAAAGGTTTCTGTACCAAATATTAAGTTCTGCTTTTCTGATGTATCAAATACCTATGTCATGCAATAAAATGCAAATTAATTACTTAAAAATCATACAATGTGATTTTCAGGATTTCTTTTTCAAATTCCGTCTCTCACAGTTGAAGTGTACCTATGATTAAAAAAAAACAGACCTCTACATGCTTTGTAAGTAGGAAAACCTGCAAAATCGGCAGTGTATCAAATACTTGTTCTCCCCACTGTATAGGACTATGGGAAACGTACATATTCAAAGCGGTACTTGCAGAACTGGACCATGGAACCATAGACCACATCACCACCTCCTCCAGAGTCTGAACATTCAGCACCCCTGTAGAAAATGAAGTTCCAGTACTTTATTTGGGGTGACCAACTTTTTATTCAGTTTTGTCATTTTTCTTTTTCAGAGGGGGGTTACAGGTTCAGAAACATTCAAATAAAAACATACAAAGATGACCCAAACCCATTCCTCCCCTCAGTCCCCATCCACCCACCCGCTTCCTCCCTCCCTACCCGGAAAGCATGCCTCCCAACCCCTTCCCATCCCACCCAGCAACCAAGTTTCAGAACTTGTCCTTCAGGTGCTGCAGAGTCAGAGAGAGCAGCCAAGGCAGATGGGGTGTTAAAAGACAGATTAAATGTAGTCTTCTATGAGTAACAGCAATATCCTCATTTTTTAAAATAGCAATAGAATAACCTACAGTATATTGACTAGGCTTTAATACAGCTCCATAATAAAATGTTTATGTCGCCCTCTATCAATGCATGCATGTCTCGATGACTACTAATGGAATGACATACCCATTATATCCCAGTTAGAGGGGACTTTCTGAAGGTTTCCAGGAAAATCATTAGGTTACCTGGGTAGTCCTTTATACTCACAGTACCTGTCATCCCGTACACGGGTTGAAAAAAGCAGATTTGGTCATTGAAAAGCACCTAAATTTAAACGCAGTGGCTGTACAGTAACATACAATACAGTGCATTCGGAACGTATTCAGACACCTTCACTTTTTCCACATTTAGTTAAACTACAGCCTTATTCTAAAATTGATTAAATTGTTTCCCCCCCCCCCCCTAATCAATACCCCATAATGACAAAACCAAAACAGTATTCAGAACCTTTACTCAGTACTTTGTTGAAGCACCTTTGGCAGCGATTACAGCCTCAAGTCTTCTTTCTTGGGTATGACGCTACAAGCTTGGCACACCTGTATTTGGGGAGTTTCTCCCATTCTTCTCTGCAGATCCTCTCAAGCTCTGTCAGTTTGGATGGTGAGCGTCGCTGCACAGCTAATTTCAGGTCTCTCCAGAGATGTTCGATCGGGTTCAAGTTCGGGCTCTACCTGGGCCACTCAAGGACATTCAGACTTGTTCTGAAGCCACTCCTGCGTTGTCTTGGTTGTGTGCTTAGGGTTGTTGTCCTGTTGGAAGGTGAACCTTCGCCCCAGTCTGAGGTCCTGAGCACTCTGGAGCAGGTTTTTATCAAGGATCTCTCTGTACTTTGCTCCGTTCATCTATCCCACGATCCTGACTAGTCTCCCAGTCCCTGCCACTGAAAAACATCCCCACAGCATGATGCTGCCACCACCATGCTTCACCGTAGGGATGATGCCAGGTTTCCCCCAGACGTGAAGCTTGGAATTCAGTCCAAAGAGTTCAATCTTGGTTTCATCAGACCAGAGAATCTTGTTTCTCATGGTCTAAGAGTCCTTTAGGCGCCTTTTGGCAAATTCCAAGCGGGCTGTCATGTGCCTTTTACTGAGGAGTGGCTTCCGTCTGTCCACTCTACCATAAAGAACCTGATTGGTGGAGTGCTGCAGAGATGGTTTTCCTTCTGGAAGGTTCTCCCATCTCCACAGAGGAACTCTGGAGCTCTGTCAGAGTGACCATCGGGTTCTTGGTCACCTCCCTGACCAAGGCCCTTCTCTCCCGATTGCTCAGTTTGGCCGGGCGGCCTGCTCTAGGAAGAGTCTTGGTGGTTCCAAACTTCTTCCATTTAACAATGATCGAGGCCACTGTGTTCTTGGGGACCTTCAATGCTGCAGAAATATTTTGATATCCTTTCCCAGATCTGTGCCTCGACACAATCCTGTCTCTGAGCTCTACAGACAATTCCTTCGACCTCATGGCTTGGTTTTTGCTCTGGTGTGTGCCTTTCCAAATCAAGTCCAATCAATTTAATTTACCACAGGTGGACTCCAATCAAGTTGTAGAAACGTCTCAAGGATGATCAACGGAAACAGGATGCATCTGAGCTCAATTTTGAGTCTCATAGCAAAGGGTCTGTATACGTATGTAAATAAGGCATTTCTGTTTTTATTTGTAATACATTTGCTAACATTACTAAAAACCTGTTTTTGCTTTGTCATTATGGGGTATTGTGTGTAGATATTTAATCCATTTTAGAGTAAGGCTGTAACGTGAACAAAATGTGGAAAAAGTCAAGGGGTCTGAATACTTTCTGAATGCACTGTATATAGACAGGTGTGTGCCTTTCCAAATCATGTCCAATCACTTGAATTTACCACAGGTGGACTCCAATCAAGTTGTAGAAACATCAAGGATGATCAATGGAAACAGGATGCACCTGAGCTCATTTTGAGTCTCATAGCAAAGGGTCTTAATATTTAGGTAAATAAGGCATTTCTGTTTTAATTTAATCCATTTTAGCATAAGGCAATAACGTAACAAAATGTGGAAAAAGTGAAGGGGTCTGAATACTTTCCAAATGCACTGTATATGACGCCAGAGCTCAGGCTCTCTGCTTTACATCGCTGTATGGGTTTCGTGTGTACCTCACGCAACAAAAAGATGCCCCATCCCTTCTGCTAATTGGGCTACTTTAGCAAATGTGTTGTTGTCTGAGTGAGGGGAATGCTGTAAATCGAGAGGAGTCAATGTGTTCTGAAAGATGAGATGTTGAGGATTTTAATAATACCGCTTTGATGTCATACAAGCAAACCACACACCTGTGGGTTCAAATGTGCACTTCACATTTCCATATTAGGAACAGAATGAGCCTATGATTGTCATATTGTGAAGAAAATTTGCCGCCGAACACGCACTTGAATGTACTCATGACTCCATTCTATGCACACCAAAATTACACTGTAAGATCATATTTTATAATTTAGCTGGTCATGTTGGCAATAGAATAATCTTCAAAATTATGCCCACCTGACCCAGATTGTGATTTATAATGGAATGTTTTTGGATTAAGTAAACGACAACAGTAATTGTGTGATGGTTGGGATGAAGGTCTGTGTTCCAAATAAAAAACTTCAAGTGTACTTGCTTCAGTTCCTCAATGGAAATGATGCAGCCACCACTATGCTTGAAAATATGGAGAGTGGTACTCAGTAATGTGTTGTATTGGATTTGCCCCAAACATAACACTTTGTATTACTTTAGTGCCTTGTTGCAAACAGGATGCATGTTTTGGAATACAGTGGTGTGAAAAAGTGTTTGCCCCCTTCCTGATTTGTTATTTGTTTGCATGTTTGTCACACTTAAATGTTTCAGATCATCAAACAAATTTAAATATTAGTCAAAGATAACACAAGTAAACACAAAATGCAGTTTTGAAATGAAGGTTGTTATTATTAAGGGAAAACAAAACCCAAACCTACATGGCCCTGTGTGAAAAAGTGTTTGCCCCCCGTTACAACACAACTCAACTGTGGTTTATCACATCTGAGTTCAATTCCTCTAGCCACACCCAGGCCTGATTACTGCCACACCTGTTCTCAATCAAGGAATCACTTAAATAGGACCTGCCTGACAAAGTGAAGTAGACCAAAAGATCCTCAAAAGCTAGACATCATGCCGAGATCCAAAGAAATTCAGGAACAAATGAGAAATAAAGTAATTGAGATCCATCAGTCTGGAAAAGGTTATAAAGCCATTTCTAAAGCTTTGGGACTCCAGCGAACCACAGTGAGAGCCATTATCCACAAATGGCGAAAACATGGAACAGTGGTGAACCTTCCCAGGAGTGGCTGGCCGAACGAAATTACCCCAAGAGCGCAGCGACGACTCATCCAAGAGGTCACAAAAGACCCCACAACAACATCCAAAGAGCTGCAGGCCTCACTTGCCTCAGTTAAGGTCAGTGTTCATGACTCCACTATAAGAAAGAGACTGGGCAAAAATGGCCTGCATGGCAGAGTTCCAAGACGAAAACCACTGCTGAGCAAAAAGAACATCAAGGCTCGTCTCATTTTTGCCAGAAAACATCTTGATGATCCCCAAGACCTTTGGGAAAATACTCTGTGGACTGACGAGACAAAAGTTGAACTTCTTGGCAGGTGTGTGTCTCATTACATCTGGCGTAAAAGTAACACCGCATTTTAGAAAAAGAACATCATACCAACAGTAAAATATGGCGGTGGTAGTGTGATGGTCTGGGCCTGTTTTGCTGCTTCAGGACCTAGAAGACTTGCTGTGATAAATGGAACCATGAATTCTGCTGTCTACCAAAAAATCCTGAAGGAGAATGTCCGGCCATCTGTTTGTGACCTCAAGCTGAAGCAAACTTGGGTTCTGCAGCAGGACAATGATCCAAAACACACCAGCAAGTCCACCTCTGAATGGCTGAAGAAAAACAAAATGAAGACTTTGGAGTGGCCTAATCAAAGTCCTGACCTGAATCCTATTGAGATGCTGTGGCATGACCTTAAAAAGGCAGTTCATGCTCGAAAACCCTCCAATGTGGCTGAATTACAACAATTCTGCAAAGATGAGTGGGCCAAAATTCCTCCACAGCGCTGTAAAAGACTAATTCCAAGTTATCGCAAAACACTTGATTGCAGTTGTTGCTGCTAAGGGTGGCCCAACCAGTTATTAGGTTGTAGGGGGCAATCACTTTTTCACACAGGGCCATGTGGGTTTGGATTTTGTTTTCCCTTAATAATAACAACCTTCATTTCAAAACTGCATTTTGTGTTTACTTGTGTTATCTTTGACTAATGTTTAAATTTGTTTGATCTGAAACATTTTAAGTGTGACAAACATGCAAAGAAATCAGGAAGGGGGCAAACACTTTTTCACACCACTGTTTTTGTATTCTGTACAGGCTTCCTTCTTTCCACTCTGTCAATTAGGTTAGTATTGTGGAGTAACTACAATGTTGTTGATCCATCCTCAGTTTTTGCCCATCAACGCCATTAAACTCTGTAACTGTTTTAAAGTCCCCATTGGCCTCATGGTGAAATTCCTAACCGGTTTCCTTCCTCTCCGGCAACTGAGTTAGGACGGACGCCTGTATCTTTGTAGTGACTGGGTGTATTGATACACCATCCAAAGTGTAATTAATAACTTCACCATGCTCAAAGGGATATTCAATGTCTGCTTTTTTATATTAGAGATTTGAATAAGAGATTTGAAAGTCTAGGTTTGGGATCAAATATGTCACCAATTACTGTTCCAAAAGGATTTTAAAGAAATTCAATAAACATATTTTGTCAGATATTAAACCGAATAGCGGCGCTCTAAACATGCGCAAATCCCCATAGGAACACAGCCATTTTAAAAGTGCAGGGCTTGTACAACGTGCCATGCCTTCATTTTTTGTCTTACATTAATGATTTACCTACTGTATGAGGAAAAAGCTGAAGTCTCTACCTATCCATTGATTTAAATATATCACTTGTCTGATTCCCAGTTCGTCCACTAGATTGCAGTAGTAGATCACATGATGTCTCTTGGCCACTTGAAACCAGTTGGTCTGGTTTGGGTAGTGCGTTACTGTGCCAAAATGGCTGAAATGGTTTTCAAGCCTCACATCTTAAAATGACCTTAGCAATCAGGTCTTTCAAGTTATGGAGTTTTTGTTGATGTTGAAATAACACACAGACAGGTGAGGACACTTCAAACTTATTTTCCCATTCACTTTACCTATTGTAAACGATGAGCTAGCTAAACAGAGCATGTGGAGGATGGGGGGGGGGATTCTTATAACATTGCCAGCTGTAAGAGAGGGGGGGAACCCCCCCAAACTCACCGGGCCTTGTACAGGGCCCAAAACAACCGCACAGAGTTTTTACCCATCTACCAATAGGTGCTCTTCCTTGCAAGGCATTGGAAAACCTCCCTGGTCTTTGTGGATGAATCGGTGTTTGAAATTCACTACTCAACTGAGGGACCTTAGAGGTAATTGTATGTGTGGGGTACAGAGATGAGGTAGTCATTCAAAAATCATGGTAAACACTACTATTATTATAGAGTCCATGCAACTTATTATGGGACTTGTTAAGTAAATGTTTACTCCTGAACTTATTTAGGGTTGCCATAACAAATGGGTTGAATACTTATTGACTCAAGACATTTCAGCATTTCATTTTTAATTAATATGGGGGTATTGTGTGTAGGCCAGTGACACATCTCAATTTAATACATTTTAAATTCAGGCTGTAACAACAAAATGTGGAAAAAGTAAAGGGTTATGAATACTTTCTGGAGGCACTATAACTATGCATGTACACAAATTAAGGCACTGTAAAATCAACAGTGTAATGTCTGGAACTGTTCTGTCCTCACTTTTGGTCCGAATTTCCCCATAATCTCCAGTGTTCTCTTTTAATTGGTACCATGGTCATGCATACGCTTTTAATATTTATTCTGTTAGAAACATTTCAATGTTGCCCTATTCAAATAGGCCAATTTCCATGAGTGTAAAGGGTTAATGAATGACATTGACAAACACAGAACAAATTCCTGCTAACCTGTTTTTCACTGATGCGGAGCAGCACAAAAATGCACTGGATCACCTCAGCATCAGGACACAGCAGGCTGTATTCACCGTCACATGAGCAGCATGACATATTTAATTGAAAGTTAAAAATCATCAAATGAAGCACAGCAAATGTACACTATCCCAAATCCATTCATTCAATATCAAGGTGGAAGTTTGCCTTAGGTTGTGAGGTGAAAGTCTCAATTGCAACGGTTTTGTTCTTATTCAACACAATTAACAGATACAGTTGAAGTCGGAAGTTTACATACACCTTAGCCAAATCCATTTAAACTCAGTTTATCACAATTCCTGACATTTAATCCTAGTAAAAATTCCCTGTCTTAGGTCAGTTAGGATCACCACTTTTTTTTAAGAATGTGAAATGTCAGAATAATAGTAGAGAGAATGATTTATTTCAGCTTTTATTTATTTCATCACATTCCCAGTGGGTCAGAAGTTTACATACACTTAATTAGTATTTGGTAGCTATGCCTTTAAATTGTTGAACTTGGGTCAAACGTTTCAGGTAGCCTTCCACAAGCTTCCCACAATATGTTGGGTGAATTCTGGCCCATTCCTCCTGACAGAGCTGGTGTAATGGAGTCAGGTTTGTAGGCCTCCTTGCTCGCACATGCTTTTTCAGTTCTGCCCACACATTTTCTATAGGATTGAGGTCAGGGCTTTGTGATGGCCACTCCAATACCTTGACTTTGTTGTCCTTAAGCCATTTTGCCACATCTTTGGAAGTATGCTTGGGGTCATTGTCCATTTGGAAGACCCATTTGCGACCAAGCTTTAACTTCCTGACTGATGTCTTAAGATGTTGCTTCAATATATCCACATAATTTTCCTTCCTCATGATGCCATCTATTTTGTGAAGTGCACCAGTCCCTCCTGCAGCAAAGCACCCCCACAGCATGATGCTGCCACCCACGTGCTTCATGGTTGGGATGGTGTTCTTCGGCTTGCAAGCAACCCCCTTTTTCCTCCAAACATAACATGGTCATTATGGCCAAACAGTTCAATTTTTGTTTCATCAGACCAGAGGACATTTCTCCAAAAAGTACGATCTTTGTCCCCATGTGCAGTTGCAAACCGTAGTCTGGCTTTTTTATGGCGGTTTTGGAGCAGTGGCTTCTTCCTTACTGAGCGGCCTTTCAGGTTATGTCGATATAGAACTCGTTTTACTGTGGATATAGATACTTTTGTACCTGTTTCCTCCAGCATCTGGGATTGATTTGCACTTTTCGCACCAAAGTGCGTTCATCTCTAGGAGACAGAACGCATCTCCTTCCTGAGCGGTATGACGGCTGCGTGGTCCCATGGTGTTTATACTTGCGTACTATTGTTTGTACAGATGAACGTGGTACCTTCAGGCATTTGGAAATTGCTCCCAAGGATGAACCAAACTTGGGAGCATCTACAATTGTTTTTCTGAGGTCTTGGCTGATTTCCCCATGATGTCAAGCAAAGAGGCACTGAGTTTGAAGGTAGGCCTTGAAATACATCCACAGGTACACCTCCGATTGACTCAAATGATGTCAATTAGCCTATCAGAAGCTTCTAAAGCCATTACATAATTTTCTGGAATTTTCCAAGCTGTTTAAAGGCACAGTCAACTTAGTGTATGTAAACTTCTGACCCACTGGAATTGTGATACAGTGAATTATAAGGGTCATTCTACAGATTCGGTGCCTTTTGTGATTGAGGAGGATGAAACAATGAACATTAATCTTAAGCTTTTTTTTTTTTTGATGTGACAAAGTAATGTGTGTACTTGATAGAAAATACCTTTTCCCATCTCAATGTAGAGTATTAAGTTATTATTCTGTATTATTTTCTCAAACAAGTCCCAATTTAATTCAACCCCGTCACAGTCATTTTGTTATTCAACTATTCATTTTTCCAATAAGCTTGAGATCAGCTTCTGGCATAATCTCACAGTTTAGATGTCCCTTGTAAATAATGGCATATTGTAATTAAAGAGAAAATCAAGAAAAACTGACCAGCACCATCCTTTCCAGTTTACGATGAAGAAATTTCTAAATCTAACTCCACATTTTCGCAAGAAATGTGCAAGAATGCTGCGTAATTCCTGACAAAATTGAAATAGCCTTATTTACCCTGATTTAATACACACAATAAAAACACTATTGATGTTATATTTTGTGTATTTAATACAAAAATGTAAAAAAATAATCTCGTAACAGGGATGAATGCACCGCAACAGGGTTTGAAAATCATGTAACAGGGTTGAGTGAAAAGCATCACGTGTCATATGTTTTATCTTTTGAGATCACTAACATGTTGCCATTTTTTAAACATTTTAAACATTTTTAAACCTACTGTCAACATAGCTTTTAAAATCTAAAGAATCTAGATGAAAGCTAGACAGAGTAAAACACATTAATGAACTAATAACAGTAACAACATTTCATTGATTTCATAAAAATATCCATCTGATAATGGCAGGAGTCTGTTTGAACATTGAGCAAACATCTTAACATTGATAACCTATATAGGTCACATGTTGCCATTTTTTAACATTTTAAACTACTGTCAACATAGCTTTTAAAGTTTAAACAATCAAGATGAAATCTAGACAGATTAAAACACATTAATAAACTAACAACAGTTACAACATTTCATTGATTTCATAGAAATATCCAGAGTAATGGCAGGAATGTCTGTGTTGTTTGAATGTTTGAACATTAAGCAAACATTTTAACATTAATAACCTATAGGTAAGCCTACAGTTTGTTCACCATTTTTACTGAGAGAGCCTAGCCCACACTTCCTTCTGTATTTCCATGTGCCTAGAAGTCACCGGTTTAGGGGGATCAATGTGTTCCAAGATGTCCTCAAATGGATACCACAGGATATCATCAAGAAGTGGCCAGAAGTACCTATTTGGTCCAGCACAGCACATGCATTTGACCTGCACATGGGATTCATCTGTGGCTAGAATTATTCCGGGATAGAAATCGTCATCATATTTGGCCACGCACCATTTCCCGCATATGTCTGGATTTGCCCAATCAACCTCCCTCTGTGACACGACTGATGTAACTTTAGGGGTAAATGTGAAATGTTGTGTATTGAAACACTGGCATTCCAGTTTCTTGTTGTGGACTGTGCACATACAGCTTACATCACGGTAGGCAATTTGCCTTGCAGCCACACAAACAACTTGGTGGATCCGCATTGTGGATGGAACTACTGGTAAATCTTTGCCTTTCTGCTGCTGTTTTTGCCATTGTTGAATCTGAAATTGTAGGTCAAGGTCAAGTCAATGACCAGTTTACTCTCCAAAACTAATTACTGTATCCTTTTAATCACTATGTAGTAAAATGAACGTGAACTTGTAGATAATACTCCTAAATATGTCAGTACAAACCAGTCGGCTAGTGAACATGAACCCCTCACGCACCAGTTGCCAAGGCAGTATACTGTATGTCTTTTTAGACTAGTCTTCATTTACATTCTCTAGTCTTTTTATGCATTACCAAATTATGCTTTAAAGCAACAAAACTTTATTTTCTGTTGATTGTGTGTCCATGACCACCACCACCTCGTGTCTTAAAGATCTTACATTTCCAGGAGAATTACCTGACCACCGGCGCGCGGATGTCCCTCACCTTCCTCTCTATGTGTGTTTCCTTTCTGCTGCTGTTTTTTCCATTGTTGAATCTGAAATTGTAGGTCAAGGTCAAGTCAATCACCTGCTTACTCTTCAAGACTAAATATTGTATCCTTTTAATCACTATGTAGTAAAATGAACATGAACTTGCAGATAATACTCCTAAATATGTCAATGTATATAGGAGAGAGAACAAATTAATTGTCACTTTTTTAAAGTTATTATTTTCAAAAATTCCTCGTACTTTTAGTTGATACTGTAAAACCGTAAACAACAAACATTCAACAAGAAAATATGATTGGTATTAAGCAATATACATTAAATATTGGTAAGATTTAACAGCTATTCAACCCTGTAACAGCCATTCAACCCCGTAACATTGAAAAATGTGATGGGGTTGAATGTGACAGGGTTGAAGATTTTGTGCTAATCTGTTGCTAATTCGGGATGCTAGCAGCTAGCAGTGTGCCACATGGCCTTATTCAACAAAAGACATTGTTATACTTCATAGCTATAAAAACAATTCTTGGTAAAATCTTAACTATGAATCCCCCCCCCCAACAGAGTTGAATACCTGAGATTGACAAAGCCCATATGTGCTTAAAAAACATGAAATATTTATAAAAAGTGAGAGAGCAGCTTACATTTTTTAAAAACATTTTAGTCATTTAGCAGACGCTCTTATCCAGAGCGACTTACAGGAGCAATTAGGGTTAAGTGCCTTGCTCAAGGGCACATTTACGTCATTTAGCAGACGCTCTTATCCAGAGCGACTTACAAATTGGTGCATTCACCCTATAGCCAGTGGGAAAACCACTTTACACTTTTTTTTTTTTTGGGGGGGGGTAGAAGGATTACTTTATCCTATCCCAGGTATTCCTTAAAGAGGTGGGGTTTCAAATGTCTCCGGAAGGTGGTGAGTGACTCCGCTGTCCTGGCGTCGTGAGGGAGCTTGTTCCACCATTGGGGTGCCAGAGCAGCGAACAGTTTTGACTGGGCTGAGCGGGAACTATGCTTCCGCAGAGGAAGGGGAGCCAGCAGGCCAGAGGTGGATGAACGCAATGCCCTCGTTTGGGTGTAGGGACTGATCAGAGCCCGAAGGCTTCTCTGAAGACTTGTATGATGTCACTTCCTCATAAATGATGTCCACAGGATCAAACCATTATTTAATTGTGAGTGGGGGTATTGTTGCGTTACGGGGTTGAAAGAAATACAAGGACAGGGGTAAAAGCCTGAATTTCTCAGAAAATAAAATGTCTTATGCTGAGAAAATGGATTATGCATAATAAGGGGGCATATACAATTAATTTAACAAAAAAAAAGCATTATTATTTAACACTGTGTACTCAAAATGAGTCACGCCATTTGCATGATGGTCAATAGGGACAGGCGAAATTCTTAATACTCCTAAGAAAAGCAAACATATAAGTATTGAAATTCATCTCTGT